ACGCGCTGCAGCGCCGACATGTCGCACTTGATGACGTACTCCACCTGCCGGGGCCAACGGGGGCGATGGTGTGAGCTGCTCGCCCGCCGGCGGCCGGGGGGGTCCCACCAACCCAACCAAATACAACTCAACCCAACTCAACCAAATACAACTCAACCCAACCCAACTCAACCCAACCCAACACAACTCAACCCAACTCAACCCAACTCAACCCAACCAAATACAACCCAACTCAACCCAACCCAACCAAATACAACCAAATACAACCCAACTGAACCCAACCAAATACAACTCAACCCAACTCAACCCAACCAAACACAACCCAACTCAACTCAACCCAACCCAACCAAATACAACTCAACCCAACCCAACTCAACCAAATACAACTCAACCCAACTCAACCCAACCCAACACAACTCAACCCAACCAAATACAACTCAACCTAACTCAACTCAACCCAACCCAACTCAACCCAACCAAATACAACTCAACCCAACTCAACCCAACCCAACCCAACCAAATACAACTCAACCCAACCCAACCCAACCAAATACAACTCAACCCAACCCAACTCAACACAACTCAACCCAACTCAACTCAACCCAACCCAACCAAATACAACCCAACTCAACGCAACCAAATACAACTCAACCCAACTCAACTCAACCCAACCCAACCAAATACAACCCAACTCAACCCAACCAAACACAACACAACCCAACCCAACACAACCCAACCCAACCAAATACAACCCAACTCAACCCAACCCAACCAAATACAACCCAACTCAAGCCAACTCAACTCAACCCAACCAAACACAACACAACTCAACCCAACTCAACCCAACCAAATACAACTCAACCCAACTCAACTCAACCCAACTCAACTCAACCCAACCAAACACAACTCAACCCAACTCAACCCAACCAAATACAACTCAACCCAACCCAACTCAACCCAACCAAATACAACTCAACTCAACCCAACCAAATACAACCCAACCCAACCCAACCCGAGCAGGTTGGACCCCAGTGGTCTCCAGGGGTGAGGAAAGGTGAGGGGACCCTCGCGTGTCACCTTCTCTGGCAGCTGAGCTTCCACCTCCTTCTTGAGGCGCCGGAGCAGGAAGGGCCGCAGCACCTTGTGCAGGCGGCGGATGATGAG